CAATGAAGCTTCGGACCGATTCAGGACCCTGCTCAATCGATTCCTGGTCCAAAAATACGTAGAGTCCATCACACATGTACCATTTTACATATGCACAACCCATCGGAATTTAATCATCGATCGTCTTTGAAGGCCATTTTAGCGCCAAAAACACAAAAATCGATTTTATTTTTGAAGAGCTCGACAGAATATTTTCATTTTAAGCTTAAATGACTGTGTGTGCATCCTACTTCAAGATCCCGAAGGAATTTTGAGTGGGCAACACAATTTCATTTACCTCCCTCTGAAACGAACCGTGAATGGACCACTAGATAAGGTACAAATTTCAGCATTCTGATCCATGTTTCTTAACCACAATTTCACGTAAAACACGATGCACGTAACGAAAATTACTGAAATTAACTCCTTACGAAGATATTAAATGATTCTTGATGCGTGAATTCAAATCACCCGCTCATGAAAACTCAAAGCTCTACGTGAATCACATCGCGCGCTAAACGTTATCACGACAGTCTCTACGATATACAAATCTGGCAACCTTAATCTTGATGCTTTGGCTCAGCTATAGCAAATTGCTTATAGTTTGAAAAGCACACGGTGGGACATGAACATTGCTCGACTGAGAAGCTCGCTGAAACCGTTGTAGTGCGCGATTTGACTCACGTAGAGCTTTGAGTTTCCTGTGAGCGGGCAGTTCAAATTCCTCGTAACCAATGTGAAAAAAAACCGTTAATATCTTCGATAGGAGTTGGTTTAAGTAATTTTCGTTGTGCGAATCGTGCTCTACGTGAAATTCTGACTGGTAAACATGTATCAGAATGCTTAAATTCGTGCCTTATCTAGTGGTCCATTGTGGTTCCTTCTCGCCGAAAAATTTGATTTATGCTCACTTTAGGGGAGGGGGGGGGATGACCAACCTTAATGGCATCTTAAAGCTTTAATTTCTCTCATATGCTTCATTCGTCGAAATTCCCCTACGTTAACATGTTTCATGTGCATTTACATGAAATTTAAATGAAAATAGATGTATTTCAGTGATTTAATTATTCATCTCGTGGTCAGTTACTACGCTATTTTCTAAATCATTGAATCGACTGATTTCCAGCTCAATAGGCAGGTCTATCCACCAGCGAAGGACTCTTAAACCAAGCTTGAATATTTGCTTCAATTTTTTAATTTCCCCACTATGTATCATTAACCGAGGGGCTTGGAGGACTAGGAGCATGAGCGCAGTTTTTGCTGCGTTGAAAAATACGTGTTTGAAGTTTCGAAATCACATGGAGCTTTATGGCGGGAAGAAAGTTGAATCTGACTTTTTGATGCTTAAAAATTAGAATTTGAAAGCGAATTTTTCCCAGAATATGCATCAAGACTAGTTTTACTTGAAATCATTAATATCTCAATGTTTTCAAAAACTTCACTTATGCGCCTTGTCCTCCAAGCCCCTCAACTTTTCTGTCCTGCATTCTCTGCTTAATTAACCTGCCCTATCCATAACAACAAAAAAACCTGCATATTATTAGTCTTAGTATTTTTTAAATTTTTTTCTCCTTATTTCTAAGAGAACGAATTGAAAGAAGAATAAAAACTGCTGAATGAGCATTGCATGTGGGTATGGCATTTACAAGAGATCAAATTTAAGCAAGTCAATTATTTTTTATGACCAAATGATTGAAGTGGATTGCATTTAATGTAAGGAAACCGACTACTAAGATTATAATGTCGAAACAATCGTGCATCTTCTTCTTTATCTAACAAAAACGCGTATAATAGCAAATCGTTTTTTCTTTTCTGCTGAAAAATTGTTGATTTTTAAGGGATAAGTACTTGTTAATTTGATTACCTACTGTGTATTTGGTACTTTTTAAAGAGCAAAGAAGAAATCGCACGATTTTGAAAACATTGTAATGGAGTTGGTTTCCTTCTGTTGAATGTCTGGTCTATTATCTGGGGTTTTTGAAAGGAGGGTCTTCTACTTTTTGAAAGACCTCCGCATTGCAACTTAGTTAACTACTTGCAAATCTCTGATAGACTGCTCTTTAATTTTGTCAGTAACTTTGGTCTTTCTTTGCTATCATTTGTTTAGATTGGTGATGGAGATGCTGCTTTCAAGGGGCAAATAAAAGTAGTATGTATTGACCTTGATCCTCCTTTTTCTACCACTAGTTAAGAAAATATTAGTAGTAAAATCTATTCAAGGACCTAAGTATGAAAATGGATTTTCAAGAAATCATGGCTCGAGTACCTATTCATCGTGTTAGGATTTATGGTTTCAATCTGAAGTCAATGAAAGTTCACAGCATGAGGCGTTTTGATTAATATCAGCCTTTGAAACTTTTTAGAAATTTATTGTATTTTTTTACTTTTCCGTAAACTTTAAATGAGCGCCTAGTCTCAAAACCCCTACTACCTACCTATTTTTTTTCCTTGAGTGGAAACGTTCTCATGCATCAAAATTGCATCAGATGCACTTGTAATTAGTGTAGCGAGAGATCAATTGAACAATTTTGTAATCGACGCGCGTGAAAGGAAAAACTAAAATAGGAACATAGTTTCTCTTAACAGTTGAATCCAACCCCTAAGAAGAAAAAAATTTAGGTAAATTGAAACAGATCCAGTACATTCATGTCAAATATAGCCGTGCGGGAATTTAGAGTATCTCATTGGCTTCTTGAAATGCATGCCTCTCTCTTGTTTTCTTTATAGATCCATTTTATTATTATTTACTTTTTTTTTCAGAGCTGTGACTAAAATTGTTTGATTTGTCACAGTGTAGTAGCAGTTAAATTTGCTTTTAATTGGCTATTTTCCAGCTTGGTTACTTTTTTTAAAGCGCGGTTATATCTTTCTTTTAGAAATCAAACATAGCTGATTTTCTGCTCTACTAGTGACATTTTACCCCATGAATAACAAAAAGGGTATACAATTCTGCTGTGCGTGAAACTTTTACAAATTTATTAATTAATGTTTAAAAAGGAGGCATTTTTTGTTCCATTGGTCACCCACTATTCTTTTACATCCATTACTTAGATTTATTTCTGAATTAATTTTATCACAATTCTGTGCTTTGAAATAATTCAATGTGAAAGCAAGGGCGGGTCATGGTGAAAAATTATTTATCTTTGCAAACAACTAATCGCTTTTAATAAGAATTGTAGATTGCTTGTGGTTTGCGGCAGTTGATTCCTCGGAAAATAGCTTGGTAATGCTAATTCCTATCATATTATTATTTTTTTTCAGTTCCTTCTGTGATACGGAAAGAGGAGAAAATGCTCCAGATGTACCTTTTTTCATGCAAATGCAAATATTTCGATTTCCTTTTTTTAACTATCGTTTTTTCATTCGTTTCCCTTCTTCAAACAAACCAGTTGTTTGATATTTGTCGATCTGATTTAATTGATATCTTCTGTGTTTCAGAACAACAAATCAGCCGGTGTTTTGAAAAAAACCAATCGGTATCGTAGCCGATCTTTATCAGCTTCCTCAACTGACTCATACAGCTCAGGTACAATTCCATGTTTCTTCATGAATCAGTCAGTACGGCTGCTTTGCAGTCATATTTACATGATTTTCCACCAAATGTTCTTTTTCCTGAATTTTCCACAATTTTTAGAAACTCCCTTTTACTCAATCAGAAAACACTTAAAATTTTATCACCTTGTTTACATTTGAGGGGTATAGCCGGAGAACAAAGTGCTTAAGTGTAGTTTTTGAAAAAAATTAAGGTAATAATGATCTCAAGTGAAACTAGTCTTAATGCATAGTCTGTGATTCGCTCCCAAATTGGTTCCAGTTTTTAAAGCATCAAAAAGGCAGTTGGAACTTTCTTTCCACCATATGGATTTATGTAATTTTGAAGCTTCAAACAGTTATTTTTCAAAATAGCAAAAACTGCACTTATGTGCCCTGTCCTTCAAGCCCCTCATCTGTCATCAATGACTATATCATGATAAGTGTTCTCTGTTGATGAGGCTTTTTAAAAATCCTCATGTCCCCAGAAATAGTTGCCGAAAGTTTCAGAGGGAAGGGGAATACGAGAAATAGCCTTTTCAGGAAAAAGAGCAACAAAAATATCACGTGAAACACTGCCTTTCTCAGCATTCAAAGAATCTTTAAATTGAAAAAGAAGGTTGGTTAAGATCATATTTCTGTCTTCATAAATAGTTAATAATGCCTTTTGAGAAGTACTGATCCTCAAAAAATCATGACTTTCAAATGGCACCCTGAAATAACATCATCCTACTCAGGATCAAGAGTTTCGAATATGTTGAACCGCTTTTAAAAGAGGGGAAAAAATTGGTCTCACAATACCGATCATTGCTGCAACAAGCTAATTTGCAAATGTAATATAGGTCGGGAATTCCACAGTACGAGACTATTACAACATCCCCAATGTTTATCCTGTTCAAGTACCCTCTTCAGATCGAAATCTCCAGTTTTGTTTTTCTGTAAAAAAATGAATGTTTTCAGTTGATAATCTTAATTTTGTGTTGAACTATTTAGATTTAGATAAGGACCTGCGTATGTATGCACTATATTCTCTGTAAATTTTCAGCCTCTTACACAGAAAGCAGCTCCGAGGAGGAAGATATCCCACCGCGTGAAAAAGAACAGAAGAACTCTGATGGCTTCTCAGATTTTTGTGTCCGAAATATCAATCAGCATAAATTTGGAAGGCGGGAGATCGAGATTGCAGAGCAAGGTAATAACTATTCGTTCAAACCTTGAATTCATGAGTGGATATCGGGCAATGTAGTAGACAAATAACAACAAAATAATGTCCAAAATTTTACTTTTGAAAAATAAAACAAAGATGTAATTAATAAATATAATAATAAAATAAAACGGTCCTTTATACTGCACGTTTTTCATATTCCTGGTTGTATCTATATCATTATGAAAAATGTACTGTGTAAAGGTTTGTTTTATTTTATTATTAATATTAAATACTGTTATCAATGTATTTTAACAATTATTATATTCATGTATTAGCCATCCATTTTTCGTCAAAATGCGTTCAATTTGAACCTTTTTCAATGGAAGCCGATGATATCTTACATTTTGCAACTGTGGTGTTAATTTCAAAATGGAGGCAGTCCTCATATTGAAAAAGGTTTCCTTGCACTGTGGCCATGAAGTTATGTCTTCCTGACTTTAACTTATTTCTCTCATTCTTTCCTAGAAATGCCAGGCATCATGGCTCTCAGGAAACGAGCAGGAGATGACAAGCCTTTGAAAGGTGCAAAGATCATAGGATGCACTCATATTAACGCTCAGACTTCGGTAAGGTCCTATTAGTTTCTATCTTCTCAGTTTTACTCTATAACTACTCCTCAAATTAAATAAGCCACGAGGATGCCTTCCTGAATGGATTGTACCCTTTTTTTCCCTCAATGACTCTACCTTAACATTAGATAAGGTCAGTTAATTTATTGATGAATGCCTAAAGACTTGTACTTTGAGGATTTAACCAAGGAAGCTTTCAAGGATTTTGTAAGTTGAAGAGGAGGAGGGTGGGTCTGTTACGCTGTCATCTGTTATCCTTGTTACGCTGTGTCAAGAGGAGGGTGGTGTTGACCAAAGGTCAGTGAAAGATGATTCAATGAACATAGCACAAAATACAGAGAGATTTGATGCCAGCTAATTTTTGTAATATTTTAATCTGATGTTCTTGACAAATTTCTGAGCACAATAACTTTTAAAAATTCAATATCTTCTTGGCTAAAATGAGAAAATTAGGGCTGAATAGTGAACTTAAAAGCAATGATTATCTTGAATGTTTTCCACTGGAGGTCTGGTATCACCTCAACTTCAGATTTTTGGACAAATTGCTTAAAACATTACTGCAATCCAGCGCTGTACTTTATGCTATTATTGCCCAGAAGAATTTTGCATTTTTTTTGCCAAGAAATGTAAGAATGGGAGGCTGCGCTTTTATATCATCACCCTGACTGGCAGCTTGACAGCAGTCACTGTTTTCTTTTGAAAATATCATTGAATAACATGGTGGAAACTAAATAAGCTCAATTTAACGGATGTAACTATAATTTTTTGTATGCTTTTCTGCTCCTCTTACTAAAATATATAATTGCCATATCTTTTTGCATCCAACAGTACTTCTTCAAGACATAATAACTGCAAGGTCTCAAATTGTTTCAATTCCACATTTCATTGAATTCTCTGATTTCAGGTTTTGATTGAAACTTTGATTGTGCTTGGTGCTCAAGTTCGATGGTCTGCATGCAACATCTATTCCACGCAGGTATTATTCTTTCAAATTTAGAAACATTTCTTTCAATGTCAGCATTGTCCTGTACAAATACCAATTTTCCCATGTTCTAATTCAAATTTTTGTGAGAGGATTAATTCAAGTTTTGAGTAATTGCCAACTTTTGTCAAAAGACAAAAAATGTGCCCTCTGAACAACAGTGCGGCTGCCGTATTTGATTTACATGTTAGAAACAATGACAACCAAATCCGCAAGGTGGGTCTAGAAATAGATGGATGCAAATGTTGGTTGCAAGTTATAAAACAGCACAACTTGGTTTTCGTCCTCTGGAAAATTTTCTTTTCTGTCAGTTATGAAACTTACAGTTTTGCAGCTTTTCATGAAAGGAGTAACAAAAATAAATTTCATTTTGAATTCTAGTTTCTTGTCTATTATTGAAGAATTTATTTTATTTTTATTTTTTTCAACAGAATGAAGTTGCAGCTGCTCTTGCTGAAGCAGGTAAGGCTTTTCTTCCAAAATTTGGTGAAGTCCCATTTAATAAAAGTAAAGTAGAAAGAGAAACATGAATTTTGTAATTATGGTTCTACCAGGAATGTAGCATATTCACTAAATCCACTTTAAAAATTTACATTGGTACAAAGTCAAAACAAAAAAAAACAACTTAATAGCCCAAAATGTGACAAAAATTTAAAAAAAAAACACACAGACAAAAAATTGGTACCCAAGGCTTAAACACTTGAAATTGTTAATAGGTCCAGGCATTTTAGGGTGCAGCAACCCCATGTTTAACAGGGCGATAAATTAAAAAAATTAAAAAAGTGCAAAATTCAAAACCTACATGCTGACTGATGTGAGTTCAAGGGAGAAGTATCGGAAGAGTAAGGGTTACCTTGCTTACTCTCGACTGCGATACATGATGGAATAATTAGCTATTCACCTTTCTTACTCTCGACTGCGATACGTGATGGAATAATCAGCTATGCTAAACAAAGCCTACTATGCACTAAACAACACTGTAAAATATTTTGATGAACTCTCCCTGTAAATGACTGTATCTTTTATATGTTATTCAATAGGTGTGCCTATCTTTGCTTGGAGAGGTGAGACGGAGGAGGATTTTTGGTGGTGTATCGACAGGTGTCTAAGTGCCCATAACTGGCAGCCAAACATGGTTTTAGATGACGGTGGGGATGGAACCCATTTGATGCTGAAGAAGTATCCTGCATTATTTAAGTCAATTAAAGGTAGTGTCGGGTTTTTTTTTTCATTTATTTGTAATCGTCCACAGGAGCTAAATATCAGTAGAACCAGTTTTCTTAAATCGGTCAATAAATCAGATTGTGAAATTTCCTTGCTGAACTTTCTCTAGCACCCTAAAGAATGAGTTATGAACAGTTCAGTTCATTTTGGTTGGAATTGGGAGTGCAAAATAGCATTATAGCCAAGCAATTTTGTGCTTTGAACATAACAAATTAGAATTTGAAATAGCTATCCTTGGCTCAATGTTTTTTTTTTTTTTTTTTTTTTTTTTTTTTTTTTTTTTTTTTTTTTTTNGAGAAACATGAATTTTGTAATTATGGTTCTACCAGGAATGTAGCATATTCACTAAATCCACTTTAAAAATTTACATTGGTACAAAGTCAAAACAAAAAAAAAACAACTTAATAGCCCAAAATGTGACAAAAATTTAAAAAAAAACACAGACAAAAAATTGGTACCCAAGGCTTAAACACTTGAAATTTTTAATAGGTCCAGGCATTTTAGGGTGCAGCAACCCCATGCTTAACAGGGCAATAAAAGAAAAAAATTAAAAAAGTGCAAAATTCAAAACCTACATGCTGACTGATGTAAGTTCAAGGGAGAAGTATCGGAAGAGTAAGGGTTACCTTGCTTACTCTCGATTGCGATACATGATGGAATAATTAGCTATTCACCTTTCTTACTCTCGACTGCGATACATGATGGAATAATTAGCTATTCACCTTTCTTACTCTCGACTGCGATACGTGATGGAATAATCAGCTATGCTAAACAAAGCCTACTATGTACTAAACAACACTGTCAAATATTTTGATGAACTCTCCCTGTAAATGACTGTATCTTTTATATGTTATTCAATAGGTGTGCCTATCTTTGCTTGGAGAGGTGAGACCGAAGAGGATTTTTGGTGGTGTATTGACAGGTGTCTAAGTGCCCATAACTGGCAGCCAAACATGGTTTTAGATGACGGTGGGGACGGAACCCATTTGATGCTGAAGAAGTATCCTGCATTATTTAAGTCAATTAAAGGTAGTGTTGGTTTTTTTCTTTTCATTTATCTGTAATCGTCCACAGGAGCTAAATATCAGTAGAACCAGTTTTTTTAAATCGGTCAATAAATCAGATTGTGAAATTTCCTTGCTGAACTTTCTCTAGCACCCTAAAGAATGAGTTATGAACAGCTCAGTTCATTTTGGTTGGAATTGGGAGTGCAAAATAGCATTATAGCCAAGCAATTTTGTGCTTTGAACATAACAAATTAGAATTTGAAATGGCTATCCTTGAATCAATGTTTTTTGAGCTGTCGACTTAAAAACTTTGGATTGGTTTGACATTTTAGGAGAGTTTATTTCTAAATGTCAAATCAAGCTGGCCATGAAATACTTCTCTATAGACTGGTATCAATAACTTTAATTTGAAGTTCTGTTGACTGAGGTACCTTTTCTTGTCTACATAATCTTATTTTTACTTTTTGTCCTCTTGAATCATGCATACAAAGTTTCTTAAATTCAAGCTCTGTCCAACCAACTCTTTAGCTGTTTTTTTTTTCTTAACTGTAACAGTCATGAATAAACAAAATAAAATCTCTCATTAGCTGTTTTTTCTTTTGTTGTTTAACTGAGAGAATTAAAAATGCCACTTTATTTTAATTTTTAGCATTATAGCATTATTGGAAGTTACTATTGAGCACTATGAGAGGTCTTGCATACTTTTAGCCTGTGTAAATTGTGAAGTTTAGCATGCCAATCAAATGAAAAATCATGACGAGAGGGGCTTAGACTGAACAGCTTCATTTTCTCTTCAGCTAGTACAATGTGAGTCGTAATTGCCCTCTTCAATAGCCCATGAAAAGGTAGTCCCACCTTAGCCATAATAAAAACTAGTACTTCACATCCATCTGACAATGCTATTATTTTCACAGGGATTGTAGAAGAAAGTGCCACTGGTGTTCATCGCTTGTACCAGCTTTCAAAAGCTGGTAAGCTTACTGTTCCTGCCATGAACGTCAATGACTCAGTTACTAAAACCAAATTCGACAACCTTTACTGTTGTCGGGAATCAATTATCGATAGGTGAGCCAATTGTATTTTGCTCCTTTTTTTTTTTTTTTTTTTTTTTTTTTTTTTTTTTACATTGACTGTAAGTATAATATCACTTCTTCTGGTTTAATATCATAACCAGCAACTATACATGCATAGTACGTTTTCAATCACTCAGATCAAACAGAAGTTGATACTCGCAGCAAATTTTAGTAAATGGTAAGAAATAAATTCACCATCTTCCTCAACGTAGGTATAGAGCTGTTTAACTGTATAAAGATTTTGAATGATATGTACATGACGTTGCCCTCAGTGATATTCTGTGATGTGATTGTCTAAATTTTACAGCTTGAAGAGGTCTACTGATGTCATGTTTGGTGGGAAGCAGGTGGTTCTTTGTGGCTATGGAGAAGTTGGTAAGGGATGCTGTCAGTCTCTTAAAGGTCTTGGGTGTGTTGTTTACATCACGGAAATCGATCCAATTTGTGCCCTCCAAGCATGGTATGCCATTGTTTTTCACTCATCAAATTTTTCATGAATTTTTTAAAATCCTTCCAACCCTTTTCATCCTTCCTCAAGACTAACACATCTATGGTATGTTAAAATGAACGTGACTGGCTCTTACAGGGGTGCAAAATGCGCCCAACCTTGCAATCCATTGTGGCCAACGCAACATGAGGCAATCTCGGACTTTTCCTTAGCGTTTTGAAAAACTGGGGTAAATTGCACATTTGGTTGTGAAATCAGGCATGTTGTCTTAAAATTGGAAATTTTTTACCAGGCGAATTAAATGTTTGATCCTAAAACAAAAACTCTAAATTTCGAGGAACGGCCAGTGCTTCAACACATTTACTGGCCAACGTGTTGCAAAATTGTTTGCACAGGCTTGACAAAAATTTGTCACACTTGAATGATTTCAGTTTGCTATCTCCTTTTGCATGCGTTGCTCATGTCGATTATTTGATTGTGCCTTCATCATGAAGCTGCTTAAATCAAAGGAACAAATTATCGTAAATTTTTTTTTTTTTTTTCAAAAAAAAAAAAAGTAGAAAGAAAGAACCATGAAATCAAAATGTACCTTTGCAACTTGCCCTTTTCATTCCCCTTTTTTTTTTTATTTACGGTCAAGCAACATTGTTGTTTTGAAATGTTTGCCCTTTTTTTCTCAAAGAAGATTCCTGTGTTTTAAAATATGTATTGCAGTCAATATTAATGTTTCTTCACTTTTACTTTCAAATGGTCTATAATAGCAACCCATTTTAGCCAAGTCTTTTTTTCCTTACTGCTCCAGGGATGGTTAGAAAAATCTATTTTTCTAAATGGCATCGAGCTTTGATTTTGCAGCAAATATCTATCACTTGAAATTAAAGAGCTCGGAAGTATCAAAATATGCATGCATTGGGAAAGAGTCAGTTTTCACTTCTAGAGCATTGGTAACGGTTCTCTCTCATTCTCTCTTAGTGTTGCAATAATAATTTTGGTCTTATCTTTCTGATTTTAGTATGGATGGTTTCCGAGTTGTCAAATTAAATGAAGTGATACGTAATGTTGATATTGTTGTGACTGCAACAGGCAATAAGAATGTAGTTACCAGGGAACATATGGATAAAATGAAGAATGGTTGTGTTGTATGTAATATGGGACATTCCAATACAGAAATAGATGTTGTAAGTTTTCAACTCCTCTTATTTAATCAAGTTACTTCTTTAATACGTACAGAATGAACTGGTGAAAGGATGAACAGTATTGGGAGGTCGAGGAAATGGCAGAAAATAGAAAGACACTTATTTGGTGCCAGCTACACCCAGGCGTTTTTTAACATGACTTTCCTTTTGCAGAAGAAGCTTTAAAAATGTAATTCTCCTTGTGCCAATTTTGAGCAAAGCAAGGCAAAAAAGTGAGGTTTTCAGCACTCCCTCTTGTATTTTGTCGCAGAAATATTACAACACTGGATCGGTGATGGAGAAATATCTCTCTTCTTGCTGACAGGAAATTTTTTGGCTCACAATGCCTCTTTGACCTTCTGAAATGACAAAATCTTTAGACCGAGGTTCTACCAAATTTGTGCTTCCAAGAATTTTCAGCATCCTTGCAAAGGCCCTCACAAGTCCTCATTTCTTGACAGAAAAGAACAAAAATGTATCCTGGCAACACCCTGGTATGCAAAGCTGTTCAGATTGTTTCTTGAATCCGTGGAAGCCATGGTGTCAAAGTGGGAAGTGTACCCCAGGAATCGTTGGAATGTAAAAATTCTCCAGATATCTTTGATTAAAATTCAATTAATGAAGATCATCAATTAAAGTAAATTTCTGTAATTTTGCTCTCTTTATTAGAGGTCTTTCACTAGTGCAACTTTAGAAAGTTCCAACTTGTCTGTTAGATCAAAATTTGGAGTATTACGTAAAAATTTTCCTCACAGATAATTTACCTCTCTTCTTTACTAAATATGTACCTTTTTCCTATCTTTCTTTCAGAATAGTCTGCGAACGCCAGACTTGACATGGGAGAAAGTTCGATCGCAAGTCGATCATGTTATTTGGCCTGATGGAAAAAGGATAATCCTTTTAGCTGAAGGTCGTTTAGTTAATCTTAGTTGCTCCAGTTTGCCTTCCTTTGTTGTATCCATAACCGCAGCAACGCAAGTAAGTCCTCTTTATTTTGCGATCAAACTCTGTCAGCCGTAACACAATACTTAAACAGCACAATACATCATCTGTTTTTGCTGGAAGACTTGAAAAATGGCTAATCTTATTGTATTGTTACGATATTGATTTTAGATTACCTTTAAATTTCTGCATGTAATTAGGTATTTCTTGCTCCATCTTAAAGCATGGTGAAATGCAAAAAATTATGATGTTATGGCATAGACAGTTAAAATGTGAAGCATTCATCTTGTAAAGTTGACAATAAATACCTTTTTTTTGGGCTGTCATCACTTTTTCCGTCGGTTAAATTAGGGTTTTCTCTAGAAGCATGTGAATGGAGTTGCAGTATTTTTTACCCCTCAAGCAAACTTGTGGATTTCGTATTTTTGCTTCATTTGTGTAAAAATAATCGCTCCAGTATCATTAAAATATTCTTGCAATCCTAGAAAATTTGCCTGACAAGCTTCTCCCAGTTTACTAAGGGTAAAAAAACTTGTCAACCTGACAACTTGTTATTGTTACAATATAAAAGTAAGCATGGCACTGACAAATGTAATGTTCCTCGTTGGTTCCGTACCAACAAATAACACTATCCTAGCATAAAAACTGTCCCATTTTGGCAAAATTACTGACAATTTAAGAAAATAGCTGGAAAAGTAAGTCATTGATGTAAAACTTGAAAATCAGGGAAAATCAGGAGTTCCCAGGAAGAAAATATCATTTTAAAAAAAATTGGGAAGGCCAAAGAACTCTCTGCATTCCTGCCAAATTCTTTTTACCATGCACGCCTATTTTAACTATTCGTTTTTCTTGTGTCTCTTTGTTTCAGGCTCTTGCATTAATCGAATTATTTAATGCCCCACAGGGTAGATATAAGTCAGATGTGTATTTATTGCCAAAAAAAATGGGTAAGAATCCTTTCGTCAACTGTAAATCCTTAGATTATCTTCTTACATTGTTGGTTTTATTTACTTACTTATTATTTATATTTAAAAATTCACAGGCAAGCCCAGTAACGAAATTTTACAAGGAAATGTAACAAGATGGCAGATGGCTAGACTAGACCAAAAACATTTTTAACGGAAATGATACAACGGAGAAGATCTGCGTTTTTACGGCTATTAAGATAAAAGTTGCTGGAATTGAGGAAAAAGTACAAAAAAATGTAAATGCGTGGTAACAGCTAAGAAGGGCATAACAAGAATTTAAGATGTTTGTGAACTCACGAATTGCCCAGTTTAAAATCTATTTTGATTATGCTACATACATGTTGAATTTCATGTAATTTGAGGCATCGTGCAACCTGTTTTCCTGGAAAAAGGTTCCACCTTAAGCTCATTTCTCTTCTCAGTGACAATATAGTAGAAAAGAACCTATTGAAACGTCCTCTTAAGGACTTTCATATGTAATTTCTAGTCCCTCTGAATGCTGCAAGACTCCATTGCACCACGAAGGACATAAATACAGAGGCATTAGTTGTTTAAGCCCTGCGGAACACATCATTTCCCATTAAGTGACCCAGCATATTATTTAATTGTCAGAACAACCCTAAATAATTTACCTGAGCTGACTTTCGAAAGCAAAGAAAAAACTTCAATTGTCTTACGAATATTTCCTATGTGTCACAAACCATATGAAGTCTCTCTAACGTTCATTGATCCACATAAAATTATTGTTTAAAGGAAAAATGTTCCATCACTTCGACTACAGGACGATTATTTCTCTCTTTTTTTCAGATGAATATGTTGCCAGTTTACATTTGCCTACGTTCGATGCTCATTTAACTGAACTGTCTGATGATCAGGCAAAGTACATGGGCCTGAATAAAGCAGGACCTTTCAAACCAAACTATTATAGGTGAGGTTGATTTCCTTTTTTAATTATGAAAAATTTTGGGATATTTCTCAACAAAAGACTAACTTAGACTGGGAATAAAATTTAAATCCTTTGGTTTTTTTGAAGTGACCAAAAATTTTCTTGATGAAGATTGCTTTCCCAAAAATTTGCCTCCATTAAAATAAATAGTTTTTCCCCATGGACTATCAAATTTACAAATTTTATTTTCATTCTAGATAATCCTTTTCGGGCAAAACTCAACTTATGAGCCAAGAAGACCGATAAAAAATAATAATAATAATAATAATAATTTGAGTTTCAAGTAATTTTTTTAAAATAATTAATCCCTTGTTTCTTCTTTTTTTTTCAGGTATTAAACGATGAGCAATCGTCTGCTTCACATAGTATTGTTAAAATGCCTCTTTTTAGAAAGTATTTTATGAAATTATATTTTATCATTCACTTGTTCCATTTTATTTCTAATTTAAGAAAAATACATTTACAACATTTTTTAAAGTTACTTTCGTTTTAATTATTGAATTTTTTTATTGTATTTTCTGCCGTTTAAAATAGTTGATGATATATAAAAAGAATTTGTTTCAATCAATATAATCAATTTATTTGAAAAAAAAGAGACACATCTAGTAACAAGTGGAACATTAATTTAGAGGATTTGAGGATTTCCTTTAGAACATCATGCAATATCAGAATGGCAGCTAAAAGAAAATCTTATATGCATAATTCGCCACTGTAATTGATACAGAACAGAGTCAAAGTAAAACTTTTACACTCTAGCCTAAGTAGTATCCACCTGAAGCATCAACTCACTGGTACAGATAATAAGGAAATCGAGTCAAATTTCTACAGTTTGATTTAAGGCATAATCTATTCTTTAAGCACGAGTTCTGAATCTATTGGTACAAAACGTTGTTCGCTAGATTTTAAATGCTACACAAGTGATGACATTTTTTTCAATCATTCAGACTTGATATTTAAGGATTACAACTTTTAGTATGATACATTTTTTTCTACAAATTGCCATCGCATGAAGGAACATATCTCGTTTTGTTGCAGTATTTCTTCAAACATTTTGTTTTCTCATGGGAAGACAGTTGCATGAATTGGTCCAAAAATTTAAGAGTCTTTTTTCATAAGGGGAAAAAAAAATCACAGGACATTTCAGAAAAATCCATGTAAAGGTTCAAGTAAGCAATATAGAGACAGGGAAATCAAGATATTGACGGTGTAAGTCAGCAATCACATAACTCGTTTGCGGTGTCTGAAAATCTCCGCCTCTATGTTATTTTTTTAAAAGAGAACAAATCAACATCATTCCTTGAAGTTTATGCGAAACTTTCTTCGCATAGAGAAGGAAAATCACGGCAGTTTTAAAGAGTTGCCGTTGAGTAGTTTTCCGTTTAAAAAGTAAAGAATAACAGGAATTCTGCAACGTCGCAAACCGAGTTATGTGATTGCTGACTTACACCGTCGATATGTTCCTTAGTGCTGGGGAGGATGAGTCGAATTGATTTTCTGAATAAATCAAGTTGATCCATAGAAATTAAGTTTTGCACAGCAAGTGTCACCCCCAGTATGTTCTCAGAAAAATGTGATATAAAACAACAAAAAAAAAATGATTTCTAAACATGATAAGCATACACTAACTGGAGTAGCTGCATGAAAACTCTACAACCATGGAGGCCTGCACACCTTGTTTGATTCAGAATCTTTAGATCTTTCATGAGGATCTTTGTGACCATTGAAAACAATCCCAACATACAGGAATTGGTGCTATTTAGGAAGGAGGATGTGAGATTCTCAGCAAAAATACTCATCAATCCTTAATCAGATCTTGTTTCTGACATTACAAACATTTGTGAATTAGATGCCTTGAACACTTCAAGAACTCAGACATCATCTTATTTGTTTACACTGGTCCCAGAGGAAGGCTCTGTGAATTGAGAAGATGGGATAGCCTATCAACAGGAAGTAGTTTTTCGACATGATAAGGATTGAGAGATGGCAATTCTCTCTAGGCGTAGTTACTTCAAAACCTGACAAGAGAATCGGAATGGAAGGGAAAAATGTTACTAATTTGTGCTATCCCCAGTCTGTCAGGCTCACAGATGAAAATATTTCCAAAGGTGGCTTTTGTAGAGAGACAGGCAGAAACGGGTTTGAAGCTTCAGGCGAGTAGAAAGAGTCAAGACCATCTGTCGTTTTTGGGTCTGTTCCCGTCTGTTTTTTCACCTTAGCAAGCCAATCTTCAACAGATGGCAAATTATTTGCTATTGTCTTAACATCGCAGGTTGACTTTTCCTTCTCCGCAACTGTAAGAAAGAAAATTGACAAACTAGGGTAAGTCAAGGTACAAGAAAACATTCAAGGACAGAAAGTTTTATTTTTCTAGTTCTTCGGCTCGGAGGTTTCTTCCGTTGTCCAATTACATTATTATTTAAGGTCACACATGGAGAACCATAAAAATAAGTAATACAGGGGAACTGAAGGGTGTACTTCATGATACTTTAGAAAAATTTAAGAGTTTACTTTCTCCTCACCATTGAGAAAACTAGGTACCCCACAGGAAAAAAACGTGAAATTCAGGGGGGTCATCATCGGAACTCCTTCACAAAATTCAAATTTGGTTGCCATAGCTGACTCTCTTCCTGTCTTTTACTGTCACCCTTTTGCAGAGTTACGTGTTATAGTACAAATAATTACAGACCATTCATACATTTTTGGTATTATTTTAGTAATTACGATCTACTCTGAAACTTCAAACATTTTTCAAATTTTACAGAACAGTCAACACTACCTAAAGAAAGTGAAATAAGAAGGAAAGGAACACAGAAACTTACGTTGCCGCCGAAAAGTTTCCAATTCAAACGGTGAGTAGTGAGAATGGACGCATATTTCTCCAAAAGTACATTCTCCGGTTCTCTGAAACCGGCCGCAAGTCTCCTTCTTGGACTCCTCTTCAACCAACGTTTTCAGGTCTATAAAATAGAGAGTTCATCATCAAAGTTACTTAAATTCTAGACAAAAGAAGATAGGAGACTTGTAAAGAAGTAGTCACCACAACGATGAAAATTGACTGTTTTTCAGTGTATTCCCTGAAGAGAAACACTATTTTTTAAGGATTCAATAACTTTTTAACAGAAAAAACCAGAAATTCCTTGAAGAGGTAATTTGAAACTTCTAAGCTGTCCTCAATAGGGAGGACTTACCATGACCGGATTTGGCTTTTCGCTGCACCGAAGCATCTAAAAGTTAGCCACCAGAAAAATTTTCAACAAATGGTGCGTCCATTGAGCAAGCTTGTCTGATTTTTTGTCAAATCTTACCTACATGGCCATAATTTGCAAAAAATAATGGCAGTTATTCTAGAAGCACCTTTACCCTTTCTTTCTAACATAATTAGCCACCATTATACAACTGCCTAGGTTACAAAAAAAAAAGAAAATATAAATAAACTTTCTTCAGTTAAACAAATTTAAAAATTACCTCTGATTGAGCTGTAGTACGCTTGTTTTTTCCGAATATGTTGAATGCTTCTCAGATGTTTTTGCCTGGCTGATAACTCATCCACAAAAGAACGATCGCAATACTCACAAATATACCTACGACCCATTTTCTGAGGCTCTGTAAGAAAGAAGGCAAAAATTTTTCAATGATAAAACACTAAAGTTGCCAGTTTGACGGTGTAAGTGGGCAATCACATAACTCGGTTTGCGACGTTGCAGACTTCCTGTTATCCTTTATTTTTCAAATGGATAACTACTCCAGCAATTCCTTAAAACTGCCGTGATTTTTCTTCTTTGTGCGAAGAAAATTCTGCAAAAACTTCAAGGAATGATATCAATTTGTTTGCCTTTAGAAAATTAACATAGAGGCGGAGATTTTCAGACACCGCTAACAAGTTATGTGATTGCCGACTTACACCGTCAATTTGCAGCTGCTCTGAATGCAGGACTTTGGGGTTATTGAGTATCTTGGCATCCTTGCTTTGTCCTATGTTAAATTATGTAGTGGAAAACCTAGGCAACATAACGCCAAGGAACTCTCCGTATATTTCTTCCAAGGTACCTACGAAGGATATTTTTACTAAAATTCAGATCAGAATCTTGTTTAATTTTCTTTTAAAAGATGAAAGTTAAAATGTACAGGTAAAGAGTACCAATTTAATTAAACAACCATACGGAATGAGTGAAGGATTTAGATAGGTACTCACAAAAGTATGACGTGTAAGTGAATTATCCAACTAAGACAGTTAACAGACTGATAACACAGTTTCAAAGGCTGTCTCCACAGCGTTAAAGTGTTAAAATTTTCTATTAGCGAGGCATTTCATGTTCTTGGTAATTATGTAGTTCCTGAGAAAAATGTTCTACATTTTCCACAAAACAACTATCTTTCGCCACTACGCTTTGAACATGCACATGCCCCCAACAGCAAAGTTAGGTTATGTTTTTGTTTACTCCAAAAGGTCAAGGACCTCGGACAAACCTTGGAAAGAAAGGGGGGGGCAGGGCCGGAGTAAGGGGGTGGTGGCCAAATGGGCCACGGCCCATGGCAGCAAATCTAAGAGGCGGCAAAAATTTGCAATTTTTTAAAGTGTGGGTTATTATAAAAAAAAATCGGATTTATAAAAACAAAATTAAAAACGAGAAAAGGCGACAAAATCTCTCATTTCCTGAGAGTATAGTGATTTCTAATTTTGTAATTTTTCTCTTAGTGATACAAGAGACAGCACCCTCAATAAGTCGAGTTACGAGAGAATCCAAACACGTAATTTGGCCTAGGACGGCGCGACTGAGAGAGAAATGATAACGAGGACTTGGGATGAAAAGGAGACGCCCTCGGCGCAGTGATCGGCATGTAACACATATTAGCGCCTACAAGACTGCACGAATACTTCACGCATTGCATCAAACACAGTGCGGTCATTGCGGTCAGCGTGAAACGGATAGCGCCTACAAGAATGCATGAATACTTCACGCATTGCGCCAAGCAGTGCGGTCAGCGTGAAACGCATAGCGCCTACAAGACAGCGTGAATACTTCACGCATTGCGTCCAACACGGTGCGGTCTGCGCGGCGCGGCGGCGGAAGTTAAAATCATTGAACCACATTTATGTTTCTTCTTTCATAATTGTTTTGTTCATTTCTTATGAATGGAAGGCCTTGTCCACACAGAGATAGGTTTACAGAACTTAACTTTTGCACAAAGTTTCGTGAACTTTTGCTAGTAGTGTTGACAGGGCTTTCCCAAAAAATGTGTTCAACACGAGTAAATGCGTCTTATGCACGCACCCCTCCTCCCCCGCTGGCACGTTCATTTGATGGTTTTTATCGAGTTTCAAAACGAATGAGAAGGGGGTGGCAAAGCATAGGCGGCCCATGGGCGGCCGGCAAGTAGGTGAATCCGGCTCTGGGGAGGGGGAGGGGGAGGGGGAGGGGGGAGGCAAAGCTTCTGCAGAAAGATGAAAGTGTTTTTCGAATTGATATATGTAGCTATTCGTGCTCTCCGCTATTTAAAGCGTCTCGTTGTCTTTAAACTGACGAACTTCAAGGAGCGACATACTTTAAGCGTTCCTTGAATCGAACTGCAACTATTCGCGCTCACCGGTACGTTCGTTGCCTATCGATGGTGAAAGTGCAGAAGTGCGTACTTCAATTTTTGACAGATTTGAGTTAGATGCATAATCGTGTTTTTGAAGATGTCATCTATCTGCCAGCAAGAGACTATAATCGAAAAAAATCGGGAAGTCACCTAAAACAGTGGAGCTTTTATCGCGTATCTCGGGCTTGAGTGCAGATTTACGTATCTCGTTCTGGCCCCTTCATTTAACCCGGCGCACCTTACGCACAACGCGCTCCCCTCAGTGTTTCCCGTCTACATACGTAAGCTGATCAGCTGTTCTGTGTTTTTATATATTTTCGGGAATTCCCTGGTTTTGAGAAGTTCCTAAATGCTTATCACTCGAAGGCTCTCCAGTGTCATTTCTTCATAGGTACCTTTTACTAGCGGCGCGCGGCATTCATGACCGATATTCACTCACTGGGCCAATACAATCATCATGAACTGACGTTTCATCACACCGGTCACTTTTATTAGAGCCAATTGAGTCACACAATGCTTCATCCACCGTGGAGGCTCAAGCCAAATGGTCAAAAGTATGATTTTCTCGTTTGAGATCGGTCCCTATACATAGATGCCTCCCTGAGCAGTCCCGCCACATCCCATCTCGGGCCCTGGTACCAGTTTTAAGGTCCGGGCCCCAAGCACGGAGGGGGGGGGGTCCGAGGGGCATCCCCCGAGAAATTTTAGAATTTATACGACTAATCGGACGCATTTTGAAGCTTCCATAAAGAATTTTTTCATCAATTTCTGCGGAATAATTATGTTTTTTTTCTACTTTCAGCACACAATACTTGCGAATTGTTGCATTCAAAATATCTGGACAATTTTTATTTTTTTGAGGGGAGGGGGCATATGATACTATTTTCAGTTCTAAGAGGGCCAGGCCTCCCTGGACTCCCCCTTCGTTTGTCTATGGCAAGGGAGTTGAGCCATGAGCCATTGAAGTCGAGGATGCCCAGACTGGAGACTCTTAGCATCTGACGACGGAAGAAAATGAAACGCAGTTACTAAATATTTCCCTCTGTACTGAAAATCTTGAAAATAGATAGAAGTTTTCCAGAAAGTATACTTCTTTGAAAAGGAGGGGTATCGTTAAGGGCCTTTTTTGGGCCCACCCTGAAATTCCTCAACTCCGCGATTTTTTGGTAATTGAAGGTTTATATTTCACGGAATGCATAATGGTTTGGTCATTTTCGATCTATCTCGGGGTCTACCACTGGCATGATCCGAAAAAAATGGCGCAAAACCACCTAAACGCGAATTGTTCTCGATTTCCCGAATAACATGTGGCAACGCTAAGCCACAGCGGGAGATAAATACATAAATAGATAAAACATGCATAAAATCCCCACTAATGTGGCCACTGCGAGTGAAAAATAAAGGTTTCTGAACTTGCGGAATGTTCTTGACGAGGAACAGCCTCCGAATTCTGAAATACTAGGTTTTCCGTGAATTCAGGCAATTAAATATGGCAACACCGGCTTTTTTGGGAGGCTTTGAAAAAAAGATTTTTGAGGAAGGTTCTGACCACCCACGTCCATTTATTGTCAAAAAAATTAAACTCTGGCGTAAGATGAGTCACCTTTTTAAACCATTTTAAATAACGATGAAAAACAGGAAAATTCTAAAAAGTTTTTTTTTAACAATGAGCGCAAAGTTTAACATCAACGAAAATTGGCCAAAGTGACTCTCTTACATCCCTAATGAACATACTTGAAGGAATTTTTTGTCCTCCGAAGGGATCGGTATGAAACAGCGCTTTGAATGCCGAAAAACAGGCATTTTTCGCCAAAATTGGCCTTCAGACCCATGTTTAGGCCAGTGATAGACCCCGAAATAGATCGACATTGACCAAACCATTATGCATTCCGTAAAATATAGACCTTCAATGACCAAAAAATCGCGAAGTTGAGGAATTTTAGGGTGGGCCGAAAAAAGGCCCTTAACGCTACCCCTCCTTTGGATTGTTTCTCATGGAAGAGATGAACTAAGAACGGAAATTTTGAAACGCCGCAATGGAGATACGTGGTTTCGCACTTCAGCCGGTGCGATACGGACATCCATCAAGTGAAAAAAAATGCATCAAGTCCTCGTCACCGCCGACCAACGCGTTTGTCGATCGTATCAACTACAGGTAGTATGCGTAGGAAGCCAAAACGCCTTCAATTTTTTGAACGCAATACGGACATCCGTCCGTCCCTCGCTTCGAGCTATCCTCTTAAAACGCTCCAGAGAAATGGGTCAAAAAAAGGTCAGAAAAGCTCGTTTTCGACCAGTTTTTGACTGTTTCTCGGCTCAAAGAGCCTCGCCGAGAGTCGGGACCGTTCGGAATTGGTTCTACTCCTCCAACTACGTGGGATGCGACTGATATCTCGAAATTTTTTTCTCAGTCCAAAATCGAGGAAAATCGACAGGGGTTACTTGGACTAAATGATTAGCGTCAAAATCGAAAGTTCCCCGATTGGGCCGAAACCAAGTAAGCTCGCTTGGAATTGACCCGCTGAGTGCGATTTTCGAGTCCGGAAAGCTCCGCGAGTCCGTCGCTTCGAGCTATCTGCTGAAAACGCTCCAGAGAAAGAGTCAAAAAAAGGGCCAGAAGTGCTCATTTTTGACCAGGTTTTGACTGTCTCTCGGCTCAGGGAGCCTCGCCGAGAGTCGCGACCATGCGGAATCGATTCTACGCCTCCAAGTACATAGGATGCGACTGAAATCTTGAAATTTTTTTTTCAGTCCAAACTCTAGAAAAATCGACAGGGGTTACATGGACTAAATTTTTAAAAAGAATGTGTGCCTTTTTCCGAGAGCTTTTCCGACAGGAAAATTGCACATAGCGGGTCAATTCCCAGCGAGCTTACTTTGTTCCGACCCGATCGGCGAAGTATCGATTTTGACGCTAAAAATTTAGTCCATGTAACCCCTGTCGATTTTTCTCAATTTGGGACTGAGAAAAAAATGTCAAGATTTCATCGCATCCTATGTAGTTGGATGCGTAGAATCCATTCCGCACAGTCTTGACTCTCTGTGAGGCTTCTTGAGCCGAGAAACGGTCAAAAACAGGTCAAAAACGAGCATTTCTGACCACTTTTTGCCTGTTTCTCTGGAGCGTTTTCAGCGGATAGCTCGAAGCGAGGGACTCGCGGAGCTTTCCGCACTCGAAAATTGAACTCAGCGGGTCAATTCCAAGCGAGCTCAGATCCAAAGGAGTCAAAGTCACAAGATAATTGATAGGCTTGGAGGACAAGGCGCACATGGCGCACAAGTGCAGTTTCTGCTATTTCGAGAAATACGTGTTTGAAGTTTCGAAATCATACATGGATCTTTATGGCGGAATAAAAGTTCAAACTGACATTTTCATGCTTAAAAATTGGAATTTGGGAGCGAATTTTTCACAGAATATGCATCAAGACTAGTTTTACTTGAAATTAAAACTATCTCAATTTTTTTAAAAACTGCCTGTATGCGTCTTGTTATCTCTGAAATATTTATCAGTGTCGCAGGGAGTCGGCAATCGCCGGCAATTTGCAAGCTCCGTACTTGTCAATTCGTCAAATTGTAATTACGATAACTTCGATGTAGTAAAGATTTCTTTACGCCTTCAAATCCAGCGATACTCTCCGCTTTGCCAAGGAGTTAGTTTAGTTGCTTAACCGAACCTAACACAGATTATTGATGGCATTTCACGAACTCGCGAGTGTGCTAGCTTACACCATGTATCCAAGAAGAAGGGGCTAACGTATGTTTGAATTCAAACCATAATAATCCCTACTTCCAATCTCGTTTTTTCACTTTAAAACGATTAAATTTGTTG